ACAGTCTATGTGGGGACCGTTGGAGCTGCAGGGGGCCAGCATAAGGATGTAGCAAGCTAGACACAGGCACAGACATCAATATGCACATGAGAAGGAACAGAGGTGGCATTTTAAATCTCTTCAGAAAGAACATTTGATTCATGATACGACAAGTGGGTAACTACTCTGTATCAAGTGAGAATGAACAGTGGGGGCTGGAATAATGTCCCTTGTTCATAAAGAGAACTCCTACACCTATAGGTAAAAGACCAACATTGCAACTAAAAACAGCATAGAAAATGATAGAAGAAATGCGGACAGTCACAACCCATACACAGATGGCTGACTACACGGGGAGTCATAGATGCACAATTTTCTATCAAGTTTACACAGGTTAGAGTCACCTAAGAGGAGGGAAACCCACTTGAGAAAATGCCTCCATAAGAATAGGCAAGCGGGTATTGTAATTTTTTAATGAGTGATTGATGTGGGTGGGGCTATTCCTGGGTTGGTGGTCCTGGGTCTGTAAGAAAGTAGGCTGAGCAAGTCATGGGGAGCAAGCTAGTAAGCAGCACTCCTCTGTGGCCTCTGCATCAGCTCCTGCCTGCAGGTTCCCACCCTTTCCTGACAGACAATAGATGTGGACGCATAAGTCAAATAAACTTTTTCCTCCCCAAATTGCTTTTGTTCATGGTGCTTCATCACATCAATAGTAACCTAAACTAAGACATGCAGGAAATGTGGGAGAGGACAGAGAGGCCAATTAACTAAGGACAGATGGTCCAGAAGTGTCCCTGGTCCTGTCCCTCGGGCTCTAAGAAGAGTGGCCACTGCTCTTGCTTTGGACATTGGCTAACAGGTTGTAGTACCAGCCCAAGGGATTCGTATCACGGCAGTGTGGATGCGCTTCTCTACACCACAGCAATGTGGATGCTCTCTCCATCTTTCAGTTGCCTGTCAGGACGCATCTATGTCTATCCTAGGCTGCATGCTCTGGCAATTTGTGAGTAAGTTCTCTGTCTTGGAAAGACAGTTTCTGTGTCACTCATTTTAGACTGGCCATCAGCCCCTCGGGCTGGGGTACAGGATTCACATAGCAAACTCAATAATGGGAAAGGGAGAAACTATGAATGCCAGAAAAACCAACAGCTGCACAGGAAAGGTCATCTAATGCCTGTCCTATGGGGTTAGCTGAACAGCATGTGTATGACAGTCATAGTAATTAAACATTCAATTCTTTAACCAAAAGGACAGGTGAGGCATACCAGGCTTAGAAGGAGCAGTACATACACGTGCACTCAGCATGGACTGTGAGTGTGTGAGCAATCTTTCTCCAGAGGAGAGAACTTCTGTACTACATCCTGATGGAGGGCAAGGCTGGCCATGTGCCCCAGGTCAGCTCTGGGGCTTGGAGCAGCAGGGGGCAGGGCCCACTGCTACCTGCTAACCTCACACTACTTTTCAAGTAGAAACACTAGGAACGTGCATTTCTTTAGTAAATACTTCTAAATACTAAAAATAATACTACAAATCCACAATGTGGCTATTCTAGGTCACTGTCTTCATCTTCCATGCACCTGGGTCTGAAACAGCTACAACTTTTAGAGGGCAATTCCAGCTAATGACACAACATTACCTCTCCACTTAGCCTGCACCTGCCCCCCTTGAGCTGGGGAGAAATTAATGCTATAGGGAAATGAGCATAAGAACAGGGCTTACAGCAGGGATAGGGTCATTCTGAGAATTACAACCCCTGGAAAGTCCTTGCTTACCCCAAATTAACAACTGAAGTTTTACTTTAAAAAGTACTCCTGTTCCAATTATAAATTCTATTCAAATTCACTGATGATTTAATGACACTAATTAGATTGTGTGTTCAAGAAATCTGTCTGACAAATACCACTGCCAAGTGTCGTTAACAATATGATGGCATGAAGAGAGTTTAAACCATCAAAACAAAAGACTGCTAATGCAATGACACAATTATAAAGTCTAAAGGCTTTTATGATCTCAGTTTTAATGAAAAATTAAAACACAAAAAAATGTAACCTTAAATTTCTATGATTCTGAGGTCCTGTCTCAGAGGCCATCTCTATGGTTAGGTTTCTGGGCCTATAGCAAGCACCTCTCCTAGGGTCTACAACCGTGGGGTAGAAAGGCATGCTCCCGGGGACTCACCTGAGCTGGCACCAGGTACCTGGATGCTAAGCAAGGACACCCTGGCTGATGGGCCCCTAACTCAAGGGTCTTCTTTATGTTTCTTGCTACTGCTCTGTAAACTCACACAGGCAGGGAGATTTATTTCCGAGACTCTTATTGTTTGAATCATGGGCACATCTAATCAATTGATGGAACAAGAACACAAAGTTAATTGTCACTACACTTGATAGAGCCTCCCACTGTACTTCTAGCCGTGTCTTCCTGTCACACTGCATGCTGTTGGCCAGGCTCCTGGGTATAAACAGCCGAGGGTAGGAACGGTCAATGAAGGGACACCACAGGTAAACTATAATTCAGCAGAGCTCTTGAGTCTGTCTTTGGCCAGGGTTTACACTGTGTCTGGAGGATAGCCAGTGAGTGCATGCACAGGTGTGTAGCCAGGACAATTAGGGTGTGTCCAGTGAGGTCTGCATCCTTGAACCCATGTCTCAGGTAGCCAGGACAGTTAGGGTGTGTCCAATGAGGTCTGCATCCCTGAACCCATGTCTCATGCCACAGGACTCACTCGACTGTCTGCTCTGGGAATAGAGGGCTTTTGGCCTGGTCCTCGCTTTCACCACCCAATGGCTGGAATTAGCCTAGGTATATCCCTGGCAAAGCGCCCCTATGTTCAGGGTCAGCCTTCATAGGGGAGACTTAGGCCCAGAAAACTGACTATAGAACCAGCCTCTGGGATAGGATTTCCAAAGCACAGAAAAACCACATGTTTACAAGACAGAGGCCCATCCTACAGGCTTGTCCAGAGGTGCAGTGTGGCAGCAAGGCTGTAAGCACAGGGAGGGGACAGACTGTGACCTTCTAAAAACAAATGGTGAGAAAGGGTCATGATGACACTGGGTCAGGAAGCTGCTGTCGAGGAGCTATGAAGGCTGGCCACATGGAACATGAAAAAGCTAAGACACTAGTTTTAAACTGCCTTTAAGAGACATGTGAGGCTATGGCTCATGTAGAGAATAAGACAAGCAGCCCAGTAAGGTGGCATTCAGTCAGCTGGCACATCATGGTCACTGGGTGCCATTACCTGGAATGACTTCTATTGTTTTCCAGCTGGCACATGGCCCCTGACTGAGGCCAGCCTCAAACACCCAGTCCTAGTCCTGGAAAACAGGGTCCCATGGAAAGTGGGCCTGGCCATCTATAGCAGAGCACTGGGCAACTGTCAGCAAGGCTTTCTCTCCTAGGCCTCTCCTACCAGGCAGGAAAGAATCAGGAATGTGAAGAGCCTGGTGATGGAGTCCTTACTCCAACCCAAGAGAACAAAGCAGCAAGAGCAGCAGCAGCAACAGGCCCACATGCCAGGATTAATTAACAGAGCAAACATCAAACTACCAAAGACCCTGGCCTCCTTGCAGACAGCTCTCAGAGCCCTGGGTAAGGTTTCCTAGACCCTCTTTTCTCCTAAGGACCAAGAAGGACAATGTTCTCGGTGCACACATTCCTGAAAGGGGGCCCAGAGCTGCTACTGGGCCTGTTCACCAGGGCAGGTAGGGCTCTGTTATATGTTATCTGAACCAGGAACCAGCCTGTGCAGCCTCCTCAGCAATCCCCATCATGGCCTACAGACAGAAGTCATTGTCCAGGACTCTTCTCTCCCATGGTTTATTTAACTGCTCTGATGACTGCAGCACTTCAGAGGTAATTAGTACCAATCCAGGCTCAGGGGTCTTAGACACTGGGGCTCCATCTTGGTTCTAGTGGGTGGGCCAGGTGGTTCAGAGAAAGCACTGCTGGGAAGTGAGCAGCCACCATACAGCCTCCATTCCGAGCCTGGCTAGGCCTTAGATGAACCCTGACCAATACAGTGCAATCACATGAGACTCAGGACAGGGCCCGGTGGCTGGTCTTCAATTCCTTACCTGCAGAAAACACTGTTGCTGAAACTGTGGTGTGTTGGGTGATTTTGTTACACACCTGTGGGCAACTTATACAACTGGTATGGGAGGCTTTTTGTTTTAATGTGACTATTGCAAAATGTAGTTTCTACTGGGCAGTGTGGCTCAACATGGCTCTCAGTAGAGATACTCACAGCCTTCAAGCCTTACCATGTAACATCTACATGTATGTTTCTTTCCAACTTAATTTTATATTCTAGGATCAGATTAAGTAACTGTAGAGAGTACACATTAAAAAAGTCTCTGTTAACAGGTGTTTTTTCTTTTTCCCTTGTTCTTTTTCTTCTTGGGGGGTGGGGTCAATCATGAAAAGTTAGTGGGAAAAATCTGAGAAAAATCACAATGAGCCCTGAGTCCTCTGGGGTGTCTGTCACCTTTTGGCCTGTTTTCCTACCGGCCATCTTCCTACATGGGTGGATGGGTGTGCATTTTTAGAAGACAAGTTCTATAAAACTGAGTTTCTGTGTCCTCTGCAGGAGCCATAAGGCCTAGGACATTTGCAGCAACCTTATGGTGAGGGTCGCCTGCTTCCTGGGTCTTGACATTGTGTGGGTAAGAGCTGGTCTTGGGCACAGAGGGAATCACATGCCACCTAGCGGGTGTCTGGTTTTCTCAGTCTTGGGCACAGAAGGAATCACATGCCACCTAGGGGGTATCTGGTTTTCTCAGGTTTAGCAATCCTTGGATGATGCCAATCCTGGTCCATGGGTCTAAGCCCTAGGAGGTGATGCCCATTCTAGGTACAGAAAGAGCAGCTGTCACCTGTCCACACCTCAGCACTAGATGAAATCACACTAACCACAGGGGAAAAAAAGAAGAAGCAGGGGGTCTACATGTCTCAGCACTCCAAAGATGAACAGACCCTGGACAGAAGGACAGTATGACACCGAGCCCAAGGCTGCTGCTCACCTTGATATGTTCATGCAGCTGGGCCTCGTGCTGCCGGGACAGCTGCTCATGCTGCCGCTGGAACTCAGCAATGAGGATCTGCCGCTGGATCTGCTGCTTCTGTTTCAGTGCTAGGAGCTCCTGCTGTAGCTGCTGTTCCCGCAGTGCAGGTTCCAAAGGCAGCGAGAATTGGTGGTCCAGGCGCAGGTCCATGGGTACTGCTGCAGGGGCCACTTGCAGAGGCAGCGCTGTAGTCACATCCACTGTAGAGAGAATACAACATAGGAGAGTGGGTCTGGGTCCTTTCTTCTCTATACAGCCTAGATGACAAGTAGAATGGGGTGTTGGTGGCCCCAAAGGGCATCTGGTATCCCTTGGCCAATGGCCTGACACACTCAAAGCACGAGGCTCAGGGATCCTGGAGCTCTGTCCTCAAGCACAATGATCTTAGGGCAGCGGCCAATCTGGCCAGGAGACACACTTGCACCGAGTTCTTACTCCTCACCCTTTGCCAAAGTGGGAGGCCCCACTCTCAAAGGACCCCATTGCAGGCCCAAAGGCCCATCAGAGGTCATACTGAAAAGTCAATAAAGGGAAACTACAGTAAAAGGCTCCACTTAGCCATGCGAGGAGCCAAGTTGCCAGTACTTGGATGGGCAAACCGCCTGTACTTTGCTTCCGCCCCTTCTCCTAATGAAGCCACTGCAGAGCTATGCATGAGCCTCAAGAACAGTGTGTGCCATAGAAGTGGTCCAGATAGACACTCAAGCGGAGAGCCTGTTGCCATGGTAAAATGAGCACCCTCTTGAAAAACATGTTTACCCAACCGACTGCAGCCAATAAAGTGTGCTCCTGGCGGGCAGCGTGAGTGTTCATTGGGGTGGCTTCTGCACTCACATTGTGCCCTTGTTCTGCCAAGGAGAGGGCACCGTGATTCTGACTGAAAGCAGAAGCTGAGTCAGTCTCAGTGCTTACAAAATTAATTCCAAATTAAAGTGAGAGAAACAATGTGGAGGAAAGGTAAGTTTTAAATTACTAATGCAGGGTCAGAGAGATGGCTAAGTGTGTGAGTAAAGGCTCCTGCCACCACACCTAACAATTTGAGTTCAATCTCCAGCCCACACACAATGGAAGTAGGGAACCAACTCTTAAAAGCTATCCTCTAACTTTACAAGTGTGCCACTGCATGCGTAACATACCCATCCCTCAAAATGCACGGAAGCATGTACACAAATATTTTAAAACATAATGAATGATAAAAGAATAAATTACCAACTTGATGAAGCAGCCCCTCTCCTGTGGAAGGCTGTTATGAGCAGTGTGTCATGCATAGGTTCCTTGGAAGCTAGAAGGTTCCCAGCACAGTGTAGGGCTACTATTACAGCACCATCAACAGGCAGCTCTTGCAGATGTTCACTGGGTTAGGGCAAAGGCCCTGTAGACCCTATCTCCAGAAAGCTCTCCCCCAGTGCCCTGGATGCAGTGTTTCATTTACCCCTAACACAAGCACTGAGTCCAAGGGAAGGGGGCAAGAACACTACCCACTGGAAGGAACTCAAGTTTACAGGGAAGTTAAAGTTAAAGCACTGGTGGCAGGCTCCTGGTCCTTATGTACTTGACCTTGACTAGAGTCCTCTCTAATAGCGGCTATCCTATACCCTTGCTTCTTGCTAAATTCTTGGGGCTTTCTACTCACAGATGCAGGGTGGTCTTGTACCAAGACCTGCCTGAAACCCTCTTCCTGAGTAAACTGTACTTGACAATCTTGAGTCCACAGACTTGAGTAAGAAAGGTGCCTGTTTCTCTTGATCCCTGGCATTCTTGTTGCCACTCTCACACAGCAACTCCCAAAGCTGGCCTCAGTGGCCAAATGCCTGGATCACTGGTTCCAGGACTCTTCCTTGACCTTCTAGGATAAGGCTGCAAAGAGCTCTAACAGTCACCAGAACCCTAGTGTTCTGCCTCAAAATACAGCTTCCCTGGAAAGAGTAGGACCAAGGAGGGAGGGGTATAGCCATAATGTAGACGCTTTTGGGTATCCCAATGAAAGTCATCATCTTCCCATCCCAGATCTCTGCACCACGCTGGCTTGTCATCTAGCCCCCTGGTTGCCACTAGATCCTCCAGGACTAGACAGGCAGAGGGGTAAGAGCAGACAGAAGCCAAGAAATAACCATGCCTTGAGCCAGCAGCCTGCCCAGCAATAGAACACCAAGCAACTGTAAGGCAACTAGAGATCTTCATGCTCAACAAAAGCCTGCTATGTTCTATGAGTTAACCTCTCCTACCAAGCTCAGTGAAGCTCAGCCAAGACTTCATCAGTGAGGCAAGAATCTAGCTACTTACACGCATGTTTGCACTTTCTGTACCTTGGTTCAAGCTAGGTACACCAGAAGCTTTTCATTTGATGTATGCTTGTTCCATGGACAGGGTTTTCTCTCTCACACACACACAGGAACTAGGATTGGATTACTTGTCTTTCCTTTTTGGTCTCTTTTATCAAAAAATGAAACAAGATGGAAAAAATACAAACAATGCCAGTTTTCTAGAACAACCTTATTTCCATGTTTACTCAGTTTCTCTTGTAAGGCTAAGTCAATATAGAGGGTAAGGGACGACCTCCTTCCTCAGGGGCCGGGCAGGGCTGTGCTGTCCGACTGAACAGTAGGTAACAGTAGGTGCTTCTTGCTGGGGTTTACCTGTCCCCCATTTTGAACTCACAGACATGAGACTGCCTCAAGCTAGGTAGTCTGCCTCTGACTACCTGGGATAAGTCACATCAGGTCCCTGATGGGCTTGAGTTGACTAGGGATAAAAACTAGCCTATAAGCAATCAATTATATATTCTTAGAATCTAGTTAAACAGTGTTAGTTTAGCTTAAATAAAACCACACAAAAAATTAAAGAAACCATGGCACTGCCTCACAGCTTGTATCTTTTTCTATATGTTACTTCACTTGTCTCTTGGGGAGGTGGCAAGTGTGATTCCTGCTGTAATTTTGCCAACATGACCTATGATCTTATATATTACCAAGGTTGTATCAAAGACTCTGGGCACAAGAGCATGCTACCTGCCCATTTCTAATTTTCACAAAGGGGTGCCATTAGGAATACCTGGCATCTCTTAAAAAAAGAAAAAAAAAACAAATACATAACATTTAAAAGGATTGCTTTGGTTTACTTCAAGAAGATGACAGGCCAATCATTTCCACGAATGTATTCATATGCTGGTAAGAAGGACGGTGGGGTCAGAGTTAAAGGTACTTGCTCTTCCAAAAGACCAAGTTCAGTTTCCAGCACCCATGCTAAGTGGCTCACAACTGCCTATAACTCCAGCTCCAAGGGATCTAACACCTTCCTCTGGCCTGTACCAAAGAACTGAATGCTTAGGGACTGGCAGGGCAGGGTGTGCGCAGGGCAGCTGGGGATGGGATGGGCAGCTCCTCTTCAATCATAGGCAGAGTGACAACAGCTGGGGTGATTTCCGTAGCAGTACTTTGGTGCCGAGGTTGGCCTTTATAGAGCCTGTTACAAGGAAACCACGATCACACTTGGGCCAAAGGATACTAAGGTGAGTGTGGTAACAAGTGAAACTCTTCAGTCAGAGGTCAACTACACAGTACTGATGGTCTTCCTATTGCCAACACAGGCAATATGGCTCTGGACCTGCAGGTCAAGGCTGACCAGCACCCCACACCAAGGAATGTAAAAGGGTCATTGGAATTCTCTGAACAACAGCCAGCATGTGTGACTGAATGTGGGCAGGGCACACTCTTTGAAGAAGAACGGGGAGGGAACTCTGAGGGTACTTGCCATGAACTGAATATAGCTTTGTTGTAACACTGTTTTGGATTTTGTTGCTTCTTCATTCAATATGCTCAATTTACTGGTGTTTGAGTTCCTAAGGTGATAGGGGAGGCCCTTCTGTGGATATGTTTGTCTTATTGGTTGATAAATAAAGCACTGTTGGCCAACAGGGAAGCAAGTTAGGTGGGGAGTCAAAGAGGATTCTGGGAAATGTAGTAAAGAGGAGTCATCATGTGATCCTGGAAAGAGAGGATGCATGACGCTGGCATCCTCGATAAGTCTTTATAAAATATATAGATTAATGGTTATGGTTGATACTTAAGACTGAGCTAGCAAATAAGAAATCCTAGTCATTGTCCAGCAGCACTGTAACCAATATAAGACTCTGTGTGTTATTTGGGGGCCCTAAAGTGGCGACAGAACCCAGGCAGCTGGCGGAAAGAGTTATCGTTACACTAAGGCACTATTTTTAAAGCTGTAACCTTGGGTATTTAAGGTGTCCTAAAATTGTAAGCCAGACTGAAAGGTGAGTGGAGTGCTACCATGCCTACCATACAGGACAAATAAGTGTAAGACTGCTGGACACCCTCTTCATTTACTTCCCCATGCATATCTGAACTTCCTGTACAAGTACCATTCATCCCAAAGGTCAGTTTTGCCCAGATCTTCTTTTCCAATCCTTTACACATGAAATGCACGATGGCCAGTCCCCATTCTCGCACTTCCAGCAGCCTAACAGCTGAAAAGGAAGAAGTCAAGGGCAGGGCTACTTCTAAGCCTTCCTGTTCTGGGCTGTGTGGACTACAGGTCTCTGGGGAGTACCTACACTGAAGAGAAAGGGGCATCACTCCCACATTCCAAGCACCATGAAGCAAGACCCATGTGAAAGCCCACTGAGACCTCTCCTTAAGTCCACAGGGACCTTGGGTTAAATTGTTCTAAGTGAAGAACCGAGCGGTTCAATCTTCAGTGAACCAGCACTATCTTCAGTGAAGTGTGCCAGTAAGCTGCAAGAAGCATTTTCTTGTTACACACGTGTTGGGAAAGGACAGAAAGACTGCCTTCACCTGCATCCCCAAGTGCCAATCAGAACTTGACTCTTGGCTACAGAGGTAGAAAGGAAGCAGATCAAAGGCCCTTTCTTACCTGCGACTCACATCCCAGGACTTCTTAGTGTTGTTGCTTCCTCTCAAGTAAGGTCACCTTGGCAGACACAAAATGAGGCCTGGAACTCACACAGGCAAGGAGACTCGGCCAAGGGCTCCTGAGAACACGGCCTGTCAACCCCCACAGCCATCATCAGGAGGCCAAGAGGCGTGGCTGTAGCCCTGCTCAAGTGCCAACTGCAGAGATTGAGGCCATGGTCCCCATTCACTCATGAGAGCATGGCACTGGCAGTTGCGTCAAGAATGACTTGTGCTATTTCTGTATCAAAACCACTGGAAATGCCACAAGT